ACATATTTTGAGAAGTTCTTAACTGCAAACTGGTGATAGTGAGCCTTTTTTTTTTTTTTAATACAAGGGAAGGCAGTGTGTTGGAATAGGGGAAAAAATTATTCCTTAGGAGCAAACATGTCTCTAGTAAAATCAAGCTGCATAAACTTCACACTGAGGAGGGGCTCTCTTTAACAACTGTTTCCTCTGTAATCATATCTTGAGCTACTTTCGCCAACCAATTTGCATAATAAATTGTTTCTTTGCTAATATGGTCATATGAGACTTCCCAATTTTGCATGATCAGATATTTTATTTCTTCAGCCATGTTGAAGCCGGAAGATTTCTATTATGAAAATCGGAGATGTTATAAAGTGCTTCTGTGAAGTTCGAGAACACTCGAACCTTCTTGTATCCTTCGTTTCAGCAAAGCTGCAAACATTCAGATTTTCTAGATCATTTTCGTAGTAGTAATTGGGTAAAATCCCAATTTTTTCCTAAAGCCACATCCCCAGCTACCATTCTTGTCTCGCCTTCACGTGTAGCTTTACTCTGTGGCTTGATTTGGATGGAGAGAAAAATAGGGTAAAAATATGATGAGGAAATTAGGGGAGATTTTCTCAAAATTAGTAATTTTTTTGGGTCAATGAGCAAATTATTTTCTGAATTTTAAATCATTATAAATTTTAAATTCATTTATTGTACAAGTTTTTTCAACTTCTAATAACGGTGCAATTTGATTTGTCCTATTATTAAAAGTTAACTTTAATTGTTAATAAAAAATAATATAAAATGTTCAAAAAGTATAAAAAAAGGCCAAAAATAATTTTGGTCCTTGTTTGAATTTTTTTGGGTCCTTTATTATGATATTTTTTGGTTCTTTTTTTTAATAATTTTTTATGTTCATTTTTGACATTTTTGATCAACCAATGTTCAAAATTAAATTTGATTAGCGACAAGTTAAATTATATTGTTTTTAAAAGTTAAAAAAAATTACATAATAAATGAGTTTTTGATTTATGGCTATTAGATTTAAAATTTAAGCAGATAATTTGCTTATTTATCAATTTTGTTAATTATTTTTAGGATTTTTGTTTTCATGGTTGTCCTATCTCTCTATTTTTCTCCACATCAATTGTAGGGTAAGTGTTAATTGATCCATCCATCTTCAGTCTAATCCACCCAGTTCAGCTTCCTCCTATTGGCTCTTAACGTGCTTTGTCCACTTCTTAACTTGTCTTTGAGCAATTCTAGTATCGTGTCACTACTTACTTCATGAGTAGCTTGGAATGTTGTGTCCTTTTCCTTGACCTCCATGCTCCCAAGAGCTTTGCTGCAATGAGCCTTGGTTTTTGAGTGGGTCTCTATCCGCGTTCTTGTGTTAACCCCTTTGCGAGTTCTTCCACCTTAAAAGGGGGTTGATTTCATCAATTTGGCATATGAACAAAGATTTATTAAAAACAAAAAAAAATTTATTGTTTATGTTCTGTTCAAGGGTTGAGAGTTAGAATATAGAAAAAATTTAATTAAAGATCATTGATGAGACTTAATTATTAGTAGATTTTAATTTTTTTTTTGAAATTTCAGTTTGGTCTGAAAGAATTAAAGTGAAAATAATTTTAATAGTAAAAAGATTAAACTACCTTTTACTTGTTATGTAGAATTATTAGTTGTTAATTTTTTTTATTTTACTTGTTAATATATTAATGAGTTTTAAATTATGTGAATTTACATGTTAATAATTATATAAGACTTTGCATCATTTGTTTGATTGTAAACAATAACAACAGTTGTAAATTACAATTAACGTTAATAAATTAATAAATAAAATTAATAAATTAACAATTAATGTTGCTTTGTTTGATAAAATGATGTAATTTACAAGTTTTATAAATTAATAAGTAAAATAAGAAAATTAACTAATAATTTACATAATAAGTGAAAGGTAGTCTTACCTTTTTACTATTAAAATTATTTTTACTTTAATTTTTTTAGATTGAATTGAAATTTTAAATTTTTTTTAAAATTTACTAGTGATTAAGTCTCATTGATAATATTTAATTGAAATTCTAATATAATTTGGGATAAAGAGCGGTCAGATGGTTCCGAATTCCATTGTATGATTGTGAATTGGATATAGCCAGAGGGGATTTGATTGATTGATTCAGCCACAAGCACGTCAGAATATTGATGATAAAAAGTTATATTTTGCCAATACGTAGAAAAATAATAATCATATTTTAGCGATGCGAATTGAGAATTAAAGTTCCTTTGCATGACTCTTCCTTTCAAAAGCATTCATTTTATGGTTTTCATTCTTTGTTTGGCGGCGGGAATATTGCATTGTGCCGAACAAAATTCCTTTTGCGAGAAAGTACCAAGCATGTGGATGAAAAACAATCTCGTGAAAATTGCAACTTGAAGCCAAAGAATATGGATAATTTAAAAATGTATTTTTTATTTTTTTAAAAAATTCTTTTTTTATAAAAAAACATTAATTCAATTATTTTGAGATGAATTCTTATTGGTTACCCCGTTGATCGGTTCACTCAATATCTGGTTCTAAGGGTTGTATTGGAACGGACCAAGTGCCAAATCTTGGTTTAATGAACTGGCCTGTCCAGGTTTTAAAGACATGTTAATTTGACATAGATATGATTAATTTGATTAATAGTTACTATTATTATTATTAGTTAACTAATTAATTGACAAATTGAGTGTCTCAAAATAGTATAAATTGAAATGTGTGATCCACTGAGACAAAGTTAGAGATGATGAATAATAAATTAGGCGATAGTGGAGGAATAACAAATTAAAAGGAAAAATTAAATTAAATAAATAAACAGTTTTAGTAAAATTATTTAAAAGCAACGTTGCTATTTAAAAATATGCCTATGATTTGTGCATTGTTTTAAAAAACTGGATTGAATTGGACAGTTGAACTAGTTGAATTGTCGACTGGAATCATGAATGGTTCAGTTTTAACCAAAAAAATAATTTTTATGGTTAAGCCATTAGTGAGCCAAAAATTAGAGTTAAACTGGGAATTGGAATAGTTTTATTGAAATCTGTACTATTGTAAACATAATATTAATAAAAGTTTAAAAAAAATTAAAACTTAGACCTCCAGTAAAGACCAATTTCATTTTTGAACAATTTATGTGTATATAATATAATTTAAGATCTTATATATATATATATATATATATATATAAATAAAGATTTTGACAACTATAGGGGTAAATGTAGATATTGTACTCAAATCTAATTTAAACAATTTACCAAGTTATAAAATGATAATTTATAATTTTATTAACTTATAACCATATTATGTTATTTTAATATTTTATTAACAATTGGATATACAAATGTAGATTTGTTTCTTATATGTATTTTATATATGCATTAAATATTATTTTTTATTTTATTTTATTTTATTATTATATTATCAATTTGACTACTGGTAGAACCATAGGAATCAAGAACCATTAACTTTTCTTGTTTAACATCATGTCCGCCTTTCAAAACATTGGTTTTATGTTATAGGAGTGGCAAGTGCTATACATAATTATATATAATTTGAAAAGATGAAGATTTATATATTTAAGCATATAAATTAAATATATTTTTATCTAGTCAAATAAATTTTAAAATGTTAATAATATTGATTAAAAGATTTTATTATAGTATAAATAATTTATAAAAAATGTACTTCCTTAGATTGATTGGAAATCAATAAATTAACTATATGATTTTATTTTTTTTTAAATGAAAAGGCTTATATACTTATCTTTATATATGTAATATACTCTTGTCCAATCAAATTAAAATAAATAAATTTTAAAATTTTAATAACATTAAAAAATAATTTATTATAATTCCAGCAATTACAATTAATATTTTTAGAATTTTTTTAAAAAATTTTTTTAAGAGAATATCAGTATTTGGATTTATCCTTACCTTAAACGGATATTTGCAATCTAAGAAACGCTTATATGGATACGTGATATGATACAACATGATTTGGTGGATGGATGTTTCAATTATCACAATTTTAAAATTCGTAGATCTATGAATAATTATCTTGAGTTTTAATTAAATATTTCTAAAATAATATAAAGATAATCTAAAAATATTTAAAACAATCAACCAAAGTATTTAGCTCTTTGCCTTTTTAAGTTTTTAAGTAATATATAGATATCTTTTGTTGAAAATAAAAACAAAATCATAATAGAAAGAGTAGAATGTAATGTGTATCATGAAGTACAGTTGTGTATTGTATCATATACCTACTAGATATATGTGCGTTTATATTCCATATATTTTAACTACCGGCATCTCATACAACTATATATAATTTCAAAAATTCAATCAAAATTAGATTCTCCTTTCGTTAAAAAATATAAGGCATTTTTAACTGAATCTCATCCCCCAATAACTTTTTAACTAACCCTATTTTTTTATATTTATTTCTATTAAACACCTTACAATAAATATAAAATTGATTAAAAATATCATACATTTTTGAACAGAGGGAGGGAGTATGTAGTATATTTTTGAAGTCAAAATCTACTTTAAACCTCAAATTTTATAAAACTTCAGTTGAGTGCTTTAATTTTATAAAATATTTTTTCAATCTTCTAATCATAATATTATTAGATTCAAATAATTTATTTTTATGCTAGTCATTTTTATTTTTAAAAAAATAAAATCAATAAACCAATATTTGATTAGAATTTTTTTTGCTAATATTTAAAAATTCAATATATATTTTTTTTGTTAATAAATCTAAATGTTAGAGTAAAGTACGGGGGAAAAACACTTTGTAATGTTAAAGGATCTTTGATCTAATTTTTTTAAAAAAAATCAATAATTTGCTCCAACAATCCCAATTAATAATTGTTAAACATTTTTTAAAAAAAGTTTTGTTAGAGAATATCGCTCTTTGGATTTATTGTTACCTTAAATAGTTTTATTCTACAGCATTGCAATCACAGTGCCATTTTTTTCATCTGAACGACGATCCATTCTGTGAGGTGCAGCAGCAAAATGGAAAGTGATGGCAACGACGTCGTCGGCGGCGACAGTGAACTACGGAGGAGAGGGTGTACGTATCGCAAAAACGACTTCCTCCCTGAGGAGTCGTTTCGGAGCTGGAGCAACTACGGGAGGGCGCTTTTGGATACTCCCTTTCGGTTCAAGGATCGGGTCGTGACCCGCTCCATGGATCAAACGGAGCTCGTCGAGATGAAGTCTCGCAGTCAGGGCGAGATGAAGAAGACGCTCAACTGGTGGGACCTCATATGGTTCGGCGTCGGAGCCGTCATCGGAGCCGGAATATTCGTGCTGACTGGACTTGAAGCCAGGGAGAAGGCCGGGCCGGCGGTTGTGATCTCTTATGCCGTCTCCGGCGTCTCCGCCTTGCTTTCCGTCTTCTGTTACACCGAGTTTGCGATCGAAATTCCCGTTGCAGGTGATTCGTTCAACTGATTCCAATTACTACGTGATAGTGTTAGTGGTTAATTTTCTTTACACAAATTTTCAAATAATTAATTAACTTTATCCTATTTTAGGATGTGACTTAGAATATAACTAACAATACTTTCAAATTAAAATAGAGAGATAGGTTTGTAAATTTTTCATTATTGATTATAAATTTATAATTAATTTTTTTATAACAAGGGAAAATAAAATCCTACATAATAATGCAAGCTATTCAAACATTTGCGTCTGGGTCAGACTGGGTGTGCGGGAGAAATTTCACTATCAACCTCAATAGTGAGGTTTGATTTTTTTTTTTTTTGACCAGTAGAGAAGACTTCGTTAAGAAATAGATAATACAGAGTTCAATAACAGAGAGCAAAAGCTGCAACTAAAAGTCATAACTCATAAGCCAACAAGGCAGAGACATGAACAAAAAAAGTGAGGTTTGATTGAAGGGTGAGTTTTTAAATTTATGATAATTTGATTTGATGTCTTTAATATAAAATCAAAAAAGTTATTTTACCTAGAGAATAGCAGGGATTGTGTGCACTGAATATGTACATAAATTATGCCATTGGTAGATAAAAAAAAGTATTTGTTTTTAAAAAGGAAATTATTAATATATCTATTCCATTTTCTTGATACATACATATATATATACATATATATATATATATGCATTTTCCATTTCAATTTTTTAAAAATACTTTTTCATATAGTAAACATTTTTATTTTGCAAATAAAAGTTTAGGTAATCAGTTAAAAAGCTCCTTCAGGGAAATAATCATAGAGGTATTTACCGATCTTCTTCTATCAACGAAGTATTTGGCAGTAAAATTTGAACTCATCAATTATTATACATCAAATCTTATAAACTGAACCAATCTTTACTTTTTGCTTTGCATATAGAAGCACACTTGAAGTATTAGATAATTTACGATCTCAACTCGTTTTTATGACTATTTTCGTAAAAGTGGCTTAATTTAGTTATGCATGTTTATTTTTGAACTAATTAAATTAAGGGTCGTTTATATTTATTTGTCATTTTTCAAATTTGAAGCATGTCATTGTTTCTTAAAATATTAATACTTAGTTTATTTAATTAAATCCAACTTAGCTTGAAATCCAGAAAGCAAAGAACGAAGTAAAGAACCCAATCTGTTCATTTATTTCTTTGAAGAACAGTGTTCAGTGTTCAGTAATGTACTTCTTTGTTTTCTCAGGCGGGTCATTTGCCTACTTAAGGGTAGAGTTAGGCGACTTTATCGCCTTCATAGCTGCCGGAAACATACTTCTCGAGTACACAGTCAGCTGCGCCGCCGTGTCCCGGTCATGGACCTCCTACTTCGCCACCCTCTGCAACAGAGGCTCCGACGACTTTCGCATAATCGTTCCCGGCATGAACCCGAGCTATGGCCACCTGGATCCCATCGCCGTCGTGGTTCTAGTCATCATCTGCATCCTTGCCGTCTTCAGCACCAAAGCTTCCTCTCGTTTCAACTACGTCGCCTCCGTCATCCACGTTGCCATCATCATCTTCATCATCATCGCCGGTCTCATCAAAGCCAACCCTCGCAACTTCCAACCCTTCGTCCCCTACGGACCACGTGGCATCTTCGTCGCCTCCGCCGTCCTCTTCTTCGCCTACGTCGGCTTCGACGCCGTGTCCACCATGGCCGAAGAGACCAAGGACCCGGCCAGAGACATCCCCATCGGACTCGTCGGCTCCATGGTGATAACCACCGGAGCTTACTGCTTGCTAGCAATAACCCTCTGCCTCATGCAACACTACACCGAAATTGATGTAAACGCACCCTTCTCCGTCGCCTTCAGCGCGGTGGGGATGGATTGGGCGAAATACTTAGTGGCCATCGGGGCGTTGAAGGGTATGACGACGGTGATACTGGTAAGCGCCGTCGGCCAGGCTAGGTACTTGACGCATATAGCTCGGACCCACATGATACCGCCGTGGTTCGCTCACGTGGACGCCAAGCTGGGGACGCCGGTGAATGCGACGATCACGATGCTTGCAGTGTCGGCGGTGATAGCTTTCTTCACGGAGCTTGAGATTCTGTCGAATCTGTTGTCGATTTCTACTCTGATCATCTTCATGCTTGTTGCTGTGGGTCTTCTTGTTCGACGATACTACACAACTGGAGAGACGACGAAAGCAAACCAGGTAATGTTACTTCATTTTCTTCCACATTTTTCTTACAATTAAATTATTTTTAAATTAGTCATAATTAAACTAAACCTTCATATATACTCCCTCCATTAAAAATGTTAAAAAATATAAAGTATTTTTAATTTTTTGAAGTGTAATTATTATTTTTTTTAAGTTTCTCTATTAATAAATGACTTTATATTTATTGTATGGTGTTTAATAGGGGTAAATATGAAAAGGTAGGATTAGTTTAAAAATAAGTAACTATTTTATTAAAAAGTGAGATTCTGTTAAAAATACCTTATATTTTTGAATGGAGGAGTATATATTTATAAATATATACACATACATTAATGTTTCTTTAAAAAAATATGAATATTAATATAAAAAATGTTTTACTCCTCCAATCTTATGTTTAGATAAATTTTCAATAAATGCGGAGGTAATATGAATTAATTATATTTTATCCTCTTCATTTGCCCAGGCATTTTTACTGCTCTTAAGTAATATAGTTTAAGATTTTGGGAAAAAAAAATCTGAAAAATGGGTCTTTTAATTTAATATGTTTATCATAAAGAGTAAAATTAAATATAACCTTCTCCAAAATAAATACTTCCAACATGTTTCATTGAATTAAGGAAATCTTAAAACTCCTTAATTATATCTTGTCTAAAACATTAATAAGTTTTTTATTTTACTGCAAGTGTAAGAGGAAAAATTAATAATAAAAATTCAATGAAATGTGTTATAAATTGGATAAAAATATTTTCTCTCATGTAGTTTTTTTTTTTTTGGTGGGAACTGTTTGTGTGTGAGACTTTATAGAGTATCGAACTTCATGAATATATGATCATCTTCTTCTTTGAAGTTTCATTTGGAAGTACATTAGTAGATTACTTTACCATCTAACTTCTGTGAATCTGCAAGTTATATGTGTTTGTCCGCAAATTCATCGAGTACATATACAAACCCTAGCTATTACTTTTTTACAGACAAAGCTCATAGTGTGCCTAGTCCTAATTCTGGCCTCCTCCAGCGCCATTTCCGGGTACTGGGCAATGAGCGATGGGTGGGTCGGGTACGCTGTGGCGGTGCCGTTCTGGCTAGTGGGCACGGCGGCGCTGTGGTTGTTTGTTCCGCAGGCGAAGAAGCCGAAGCACTGGGGAGTCCCACTGGTGCCATGGCTTCCATCTTTATCAATAGCCATCAACATCTTCCTGCTAGGCTCCATAGACAAAGACTCGTTCATAAGGTTTGGGATATGGACGGCATTACTTTTGGTCTACTATGTCCTGTTTGGCTTGCACGCTTCTTATGACACTGCCAAAGAGCTTGAGAAGAACAGGCAGATTGCTTCTTCTATGACTGATGATATTGTCATGGAAGAAGGTGTTGTGGCTTCTTCTCCTGCACATCCAGCTTCACAGAACAGGTAGATATCTGTCTATGCATAGATACAAGGGAAAGATTTTATTATTATTATTATTATTATTTGTACTTAGAATTCATCTGTTACTATTCTTTTCTTTATTGCTGAAGTGTACGTAAGTGCTGGTTTTTAGGATTTTTTTCTCCTTTCTACTTTTTTTTTGGCATGACAGTTTTCAAGAACTATATATCAATCAAGTTTGTTATACATGGCACTTGGAATCTGATTTTGTTTTAGTTTTAGGAGTAGTCTCACAATTTCTCTTCTCTTTTATATGATTATTTGATTAAATAATATTCAAATATTGTCAAGTCAAATTGAGGATAACTCTCCCAAAAGTATTTCGCTCTTATTACCATTGTTGCCCTTTTCTCCTCTCATGCTACTCTGTAGGCACTAGTGCAAAACATAATTTTGACTACGCATTTTTTGTCATAATTTGTTAAAAAACTGTGGCAATATAAGACATCAATGGCATAGATGTAAATAACAAGAAAAATGCATCATTCTTTGCCACGGTCGTAAATCAAATTGTCACCATAAATAGATATTAAATCAAATTAAATAATTACATTACATTAGTTAAAATAAATTTTCAATTAAATTTTTTATTGTTTTTTATTAAAACACATTTAATTAAAAATAAATGATAAATTAATTAAATAATTTAATTAAGTAATAATGCCTGCAATCAGACACATTTATATGTCTGTAATCATACACTATTAATTATTGAGTGTTAAATTAAAATATTTTATATTTATTTTTTAATTTTAATTTTATAAAAAATATTACCTAGAATGCACCATTAATATTTGTCTTAAATAAGACATGTTTTAAATTAAACATAATTTACCGCGGTCAGCACTACCGACACTTACGGTGGCCTGAGTGGTGGCGTAGTGATGGTGGCGGCGGCCGGGATATTCATAGGCGTCCTTTTTCATACAATATCATGGTGATGTGTAAAAGGAAGACACTTGAAAATCATAAAGTAAGAATTATAACAGTTTAATCAGAAATTTTGAGTTCAAGTCCGAAGAATTAATGCATTAACCTTAAATATTTCATGGCAAAGCTTGCTACCTGACAAGGTCACCGGCTGTATTCAAATTAATTTGGGCTCCAATTAAGTACTCCCAGCTTAACTTGAGGCAGACCCAAAATATTAAGTGCCCCAACGGCTTAACAAAATATTATCTAGAAAGCAAAATGAGAAATGTTAATGTGTCTCAATTTTTATTTTCACATCATCTTTATAAAAAGAAATTTTGCATGTACCCAAGGGTTTGCTAATTAAAAAGCATAACGTTGGTGTCTGTGAGATGAGCTTGGGATTTAAATCCTCTAAAATTAAGATTCCAGAATTTAATTATGTAAAGTTTTTTTAGTATTTTATACTTCATTATCTTATATAAAATATAAAATTTCTTTCTTTTCTTAAACAGATAAACTTCAAATAAATTTACATATATCAATTTCAAAGGATTTAAACCCAATGAGCTTGACAAGGAAAAGCACTTTACTATGCAAAAAGAAGCAAATTCACTCATTATCACTTATTAATTAATGAAGCAATATTAATAATTCTTTAAATTCTGTGTATTTAAGGATGTGTTATTATTATTATTATTATTCACGTGCTTCTTCTTGTTACTTTCGTCGCTTATTTTACACTGTTCACTTGCATTACGCAAGGTTCATGTGATAATTTCTATGTCTCACTGCCTCCAAAATTTCTTTCTATTTTCTTTTGCTTCCCTTTGAATCTAATCTATTCTCGATAGGGTTTTATGTGAATTTAATTGCTTCAAAAAGTGCACTGACTTGTCTCTTATATATGTCCACAATTTGTGTTGGCTATTTTTCTTTAATTTCTTCTATATGAACAATATTTATTACATAATACTTTTTTTTTTTTGGATTAGGATTGTGGGTTTGGATGGTAGCGTGGGCCAAATCAGTCGACCTTTTTTTCTAATCATTTTTTTAACAAAAAAAAAAACTGATAAGAGTTTCTCATCAAAACAATTTCCTATATCTATTATTCAAAATCATAGCATAACTATATGTAGAAATAAAAACAAATTTAAGAAAAAAATCGCAAATATAAACTGAAAAGATTGTCAAATTAATATACAAATAATAATAAAATCTTACTTTGACCAAACATCTAAATTTCAGAAGTTGATTCCTTGTCATTTGTTTTTCTGGTAAAGATTCTTGGTCTTTATCTCTCCATTTTTTTTTTTTTGCCATAGATGATAAAACAAAAACACGAACTATTATTAGTTAATGGATAATAGTTAACTACATGAAAATAACTCGAACGCGAAGAGGAAAGGGAAAGAAAATGTCTAAGTGTGTTTAGGGGTGGGAATAGATTAGGCCCTTAATAAGAACCTACAGCCTAACCTAACCTACTTACTAAATGAAATCAAGTCAGATTCAAGCTTTTAATTAAGTCTGTTTAGTTAACTAAGCCATGTCTATTTTTTCAAAGCCTAATCTATGAGACAAACAAGCTTGCCTATATATATATATATATATATATATTATGTAATATATCACAAATCAAATACATCAGTTTCACTATTTAATTTTTAATCAATCTATTTTTTTATTTTTAGTTATATTTTCAATCATATTAGACCTATATATTAATCGTAATGTTGTTATTTTATTATCATATTATATTGTAGTTGGTAAATCTTTTTTAAGTATTATATATTGTAATTAATAAATTAGGTTATATATTGTATATTATAATAGTTTTAAAATATATTAATTTGAGACATTTAAAACTAAAATGCAAACTTATTCAAGAGGCTTACTTTTAAGTAGGATTTTAAATAGGTTTTTAGGCCAAGTTAGGCTTTAAGTAGGCTTATGCCTAAACCATAAAAAGAGTCTTATATAAGTTTCAGATTAAGTTTAGTTCTTTGATTTACCATATTGGCTTGGGCATATTTGGCCAAAATTAGCTCGGCCTAGCATATTTTCATTCTTAAGTATGTGTCTAGTTTACAATTTATCATAAGTCTATTTGTCAAAATAAAAATTGGTTTATGTAATGGGATTATATGTAATTATTAATTAATATTTGTTAGGTAAACTTGATTTGTTGAAAAAATTATAAATAATATAAAATTTATTATGTTAAATAAAAAATAATTTTAAATAAAATATTATTACATTTTGATTTAGTTTAAGCTATTTATATTATAAAAATAATTTGACCTATCTAATAACTTTTTTAAATTTGCATGTAAATATAAGGGGGGAATGACAAATAAATTTTATTGAAATAATCAAATGATAAGAGAGTATCACAATATGAAGTAATTATTATGAAATCCCTAAGGAATTATTTCACATAATTTTTGGTTTAAATGAAAAATTGATCTCTAAATTATAGGTGCATGAATGTCTGGTCCTAAACTCATTTTTGTTGTAATATATTTAATATTACCTTTATTGTCAACAAATGTTAACTTTGATCATTAATTGACTACAAAATTATAGAAAAGACCCTCAAAAATTACAAAATGGAATTTATAATTTTTTGTCATAATTTTTTAATCAATTAACAATCAAAGTTAATTTTTATTAATGATAGGGATGACATTGCACCATTTTAAAAAGTTAAAGGAGATTATTGCACCAAAAAAGTTTATTATGTTTTTAGATGCTCCTGGACATATAATTTAAGAGTAAAATTGCACTTTAATTTTTTTTTTTGCAAAATTATATTTCTAACCCTAAATAAAATTTTAGAAAATGTAGTTTTTAAAAAGTGAATTGAAGCATATGGGGCTTTCCCGAAGCCAAAAGATAATAGCATATGAGACGGTAACATGGCAATAAAGAACGTTGTTAAAATGGCTAACCTTTAGTAATTAATGCCAACGTCTTTTATTTTTTAAGCATTCGTTATACTAAGCTTGCTCTATATTAAGTTGAGAAGGTTTTAACACGAGGCCAAAATTAAACCGAATCAAGCCGGGGTCAAGACTCTTTCATGTAAAAGCTCTTTACCACCAACATTACTATATTTCTCTGAGCTTGAATTTGAAACATTTGATTAAAAAAGTCAAATTTTCTTATTTGTTGAACCAATCATTGGATCCACTATTTTTCAAACTTAAAAGCAAGTGGGGGATTTTCCCAAGTTGACTTTGGGCTTTTCCTCAAATTTTTTTTTGTAAACGAGCCCAACAAGTCAATGATGGTAACATTGGAAGAACTAACAATAATCGTATCATGATAAGGCTAGGAGTCATATATTTAGGTGGAGTTTGGTATGGTATGAAAGCGTGAACCTTAGCCGCAGGTATTACAACAGGCAAATGTATGGTTGCGGGGAAAAAAAGGAAAAAATGATTTTTATATTAAAACAAGGTTTAAAAAAAGCGGGTGGTATATTCTTTCCATTTTGAGTAACACAATTGAACATAAAAATGCTACTCCTTTTGATCTTATTTATAAATTATTTAAGCATGTTTCATCGGAATAAAAAAAAACCTTAAACCTCATTAATTTTGTTTTAAAAGTTAACAAGTTTTAACTTTTACCTCTAATGAATATTCTTAAATCTCATTACTGACATTTTCATTCAAAGAATTTAATGAGGGCATAAATGTAAAGAGGAGCATTGAAAATTGACAAGTGTCTTATATATAAGATCAATTTCTCTCTCTCTCTTCTCTGCCCTATAAATAGGACTAGAGGAGTATTTTTTAGCAATTTTTTAAAAGTCAGACCGTCTCGATTTTTATGATCTAACCGGTTAAACCAGCAGTTGGATCAGTGATGTCATAACTAAATAAATAATATTAAATATATATAATAAATATAAGAACAAATCTATGGTATGTTAATAAAATAACATAACATGACCGTAAATTAATAATTTTTTAAATTATAATTTTATAACTTATCAAATATAGGTGGGTCTTAATTGAATTAGATATGAGTAGATTTAAAAGTATCAACATTTGCACCTATAATTGTCAACATCTTTATAAAAAAAATAGTTTCAAATCATATTCTATACATGTGTATTCTCCAAAAATAAAGTTAACTTTTAGTAGGATCTAATTTTTAAAATTTTTATGCTTTTTTTAATATTATATTTAAAACTGTTCAGTTTTTTAAAAATTGCTCCAATTTTTGATTCAATTTTCATTTTCAGATTAATAGTGGATCAACTTCAGTCCAATCCAACTCAATTATAAAAATAATTTTTTAATCTAAAATGAGTCGTTAACGGCTTTGATCGACAATCCAACTGTCTAGTTTGGTCCAGTTTTAAATAATTGGTTCTACCACACGGCTGGGGATTATAAGATTACTTTTTTGGTTTTTTTTTTGTCATGACTTTATTCTGTTATATTATACATACAAATAACTTTATTATGTGATTTTAAAATTTAAATATTCACTTAATTTTAAATGAGAATTTTTACTCCCTCATTAGTTAGTTATTTGTAAAAAAAAATGTGAGCTATTTTTTTTAAACTACCCCTTCTTTCAATTATTTACATTAGAGTATTACCAACACAGCTTATACATTATATAATCTAGAAAAGAAATAATAATGATGGACACAAAAATTGATTAAAGTCTACGATCAAAACAAACTATTTAAGTATCTCTTACATTTATGACATGATGAAATATATTTATTAATTCTTTTAAAAAAATTTGCCAATGGCTCGAGTTCATAATGTGGGAATCTGGGTTAACATGCTCGATACTAGCAAATTTCTAAACTAGTGTTTGACTATTTTAATAAAATGTTTTGTTTATGACTAGTATAATCACTGTTTGATTATAATTTTGATAATTAATATTTGAACAAGTACCTTAACTAATGCAATGCTTATAATTAGTGATGGATTGGAATATCTGTAATTAATTTTAATTTTTCTAGTAGTGATATATGTGTCTGTATATATATTAAATTTGTATGTGATTTTAACATTTAAATATTCACTTAAATTTAAATGAAAATTATTACTCTTTTGGGTTCTAAACAAAGAAACTAGTTAATCGATTCATATAAATTTAAAAGCTTATATGATTTAATTATATGTAAAAATGTTTGTTAATTTTACAAAATACCCATCTTTTTATCATTTATATTAGAGTATTATTATACGTAATACAATTTAATTATAAGGATAATTTTCTGGCCAAAAAATTATGAATATAATTTGAAAAAATAATAATAAAGATGAGAGACAAAAGAGATTGAGATCCAATATTTAAAATTAAAATTAATCTCTTAACTTAACTCTGCATCCACGATACGGTAAAGCAATTTTTATTAAAAAACCGAAAAGTAATATTTATTAATTTTTTTAAAAAAGAAAATTGCCCCAGTCGGCACGAGATGCTTCATTGGTCACTGATGAACGTAACAACTTGTTTTGGGTCAACATTACATACTGACATTAACAGTCTTTTATCCAACTTGCATAAGTCTGGGTTTTTTGTTTTTTTTTTTTTTTTATTTTTGTTTGACCCCTAAACTTGGAAAAAAATATAAGAAGGGATTATATATTTTACTATTTTGCACTTTTTAATTCAAATATTTTGTACCCTTAAGTCCAACTTTAAAAATATTTGAGTTTTAAAAAAATTTTAAATTTAAATATGTTCAGTTGAAGTCCAAAAGGATATTATACTTTTGGCCTAAGATCCTGGCACCACTGTGTATGACTTAAGCTTTTTTAGTTGTTAATAATATCTTCCCTTCATTGAAAAATATACTCCCACACACAGATCACGCACATATTGCATTTTCTAAGAATACTGTTTAATTTGGTTCAAAGTAAGAGTATTAGACATTTGGTAGATTTGATATATTCTTACTTCATTGTATTCCACTCGTGCAATTAATAATAATATTTTGAAAAAATCAAATGTTATATTCTCTTTGTTTTAAATTACAAGATACTTTTTAAAGGGATTTGACTTCCTAAAATATAGTAAAAACTTTGAGATATTAAAATTTTATTAAATACATTTATTATAATATTACCCTTTATTTTTATTTAATTTTCATTCTTATCTTTTTTCAATATATTAAATGAATGGTATTTTTAAAAAATTATATTTTTATTTTTTAAAAATAAGGTTCTCAATTGTATTTAACGATGTTTATTGATATATGAGATTGTATCCAAAAGTATCATATAATCTGAGATGAAGGGAGTATTTATTTCACTAAATGTGTGATTGAAAATGTGTGAATTTTTTTTAAATTTAGATTTTAACTAACTTTTTTTTAGAAATGTAAATAGTTAATAATAACTTATATTTGTGGTTTGGATGGAGTATATATTAGTTTAAATACCTAATTTTTGTAGTATAGTATTCTCCATGTACATGAAAAATGTATACTCCTTTTATTAAGAGTTATTTTTTTCCCTAACAAAGTATAGCTAGTTGTTTTTATTCTTTTTATAATCGGCCAAATTGTTTCAATTCAAATCGTGTGATTAATTACATAACTTAATTTTAGACAAGCTGCTTCCAACAATTTCACCATTTTTGACACTTTGAATACTTTCTTACAATATTGTCTAGATACATTTACTCCATGTAAATAGAATGAAGTATGAAATTACCTACATTATTTATAGCCATAGCAATAATATTTGTTAAAAACATTATAATGAGTTAATGATGTGTTGAATACATAGTATATTTATTTGGAAAAAATATATATTGATTGTATCTTTTTTTTTGTGAACATTGATTGTATCTTTATTACTTGATGATACATGTATTTGAATAAGCGAAAACAACTTTAATTATCATTAATATTAATATTTGTTTAATAAATATATTAAAAGCATGCCGAAATACCTATAAAATCATTATTGATAATAACAATCCCACATAATAGAAGGTCTAAATTAGTTTGGGTGGGAGACAACAATACTTTCAGGTTTCCAGAGGATGGAATTAAAAAAAATAATATTAATATCATTAACATATTAAGGTACTAATATAATATGTAAAACTAATAGAAATTGCACATTTTACATGCTATAAATAAGTAGTGTGTGATGAGCAGGTTCTGTTCAATACTAAGACCGAGCCCTCCCTAATGTGTTATTGTCCCTGGTATAGGAATATATATATATATATATATATAAATCTTTTTTGAAGAGTTATTTCTTTTCCAAAGAAAGTAGAACTAATTGTTTCTTTCCATTTTATAATTCAAAATTTTTTAAAAGGTCATATTAAAACTATAATCCTCCAAATCTGTTATGATTCAACGTCAATACGTTTATTCAGCCAAAAAAAAATATTCAAAACGTTTACATAATTTTAAACAGTCTGTTTCGAATTAACAATATAATATAACTATAATATTGTCTAGATACATTTACTCATACATACATGAGAAGTAATTGAATGAATTTTGAGGCTTATGATTTATAAAAATATTGTCCAAATACAGTTTGATATATTGATTATAATGTTAATAACAACCTAAAATTAAACAGTCATTTAATTAGATTATTATAAGTGAATGAATTTTGAGGTTTATGATTTATAAAAATATTGTCCAAATACAATTTGATATATTGATTATAATATTAATATTAATAACAACATAAAATTAAACAGTCATTTAATTAGATTATTATTAGTTTCTCTTATATATATATATATATATATATTTTTTCTCCTGTTCTAATTATAAGACAAAGCTTTAAAGCCTTATTTCAGTATTTAGATATATATATATATATATATATATATATATAACTATACAAGTGGGAAAGTGCACTAGGAGTGGGTACACGGAAGCAATTATTATATACAATTTGATAAATCAATAATTTCGGCCAATAATTGCAATTAAAATTTTGCATGATGCATTGTTTAATTTGGTTGAAAAAAATATCGCAATCACAGTGGAGACTGGAGACACATCGATTCGGTTCATGCTTCCTTTAAATAGTGTCATCCCATCGCATAAAAATCAGACAGTCCCACATTTTCCTCTAAAGTCTGTACGACGATCGATTCTGTGCGTTGCGGCAGCAAAATGGTGAAGGACGGAAACGGCGTCTTCGTGGACGACGGTGGGTTACGGCGGAGAGGATGCACGTTTCGTAAAAACGACTTCCTCCCTGAGGAGTCGTTTCAGAGCTGGGGCAACTACGGGAGGGCGCTTTTGGATACTCCGTTTCGGTTCAAGGATCGGGTCATGACCCGGTCCATGGATCAAACGGAGCTCGTTGAGGTCAAGTCTCGTAGCCAGGGCGAGATGAAGAAGACGCTCAACTGGTGGGACCTTATGTGGTTCGGCGTCGGAGCGGTCATCGGCGCAGGAATATTCGTTCTGACTGGCCTTGAGGCAAAGGAGAAGGCCGGCCCGGCCGTCGTGATCTCTTATGTCGTTTCCGGCGTCTCCGCCATGCTTTCCGTCTTCTGTTACACCGAGTTCGCCGTCGAAATTCCAGTCGCAGGTAGCTCATTCGTTCGATATCTTCTATGAAAATCTCATCATAAAAATTATATGTCCTCGACGAAATTAATTTTAATGAATTATTTTAATTGTCTTCCATTTAAAATTGAAGAAGTCATTATCTAGTTCAGTGAATCAACTACGTAGAGTGAATATTCGCATAAATTAATCCTAATCGGCATTTGGGTGTTATCCGTAGTCTCGCGCGCGCGCGCGCACTCACATATATATATATATGCATACATAATTTCAGTAGGTTGGTCCTATCAAAAAAATAAAATCAGTAGGTTCATGAAAGATATTTTTTTTCCTTTTATTTTGGCTTTGTTTATAGCTGATTTTTGTTAATTAATAGGTTTCAGTTTCTATTCAAAAAAAAATTCAGTAGGTATGGATTTGTTTCGAATTGTGGATATATAGTTTTACTTTTATTGAGTATAACAACAACAAAAAGTAAAATTTCAGCTCTTAAAAATGCGTTTGCCTGTATATATAATTTTCATAAAGGAGTTGTGCATTGCTTGGAGGTTATTTTGTTTATGATTTATGAATGAGATAATTTTTATATGGTGTATTATTGATTGATTTATTGATTTATTATCAGAGAAAAATACCCTACTCTTACTCGTAAAGTTAGAAATATAAAAATAATGAACTCATAGAGTTAATCCGAATGTTTGGCAATAACGCATGCGCACACTTTATGTCAACTGTCAAGCGTGTACTTGTTTATATTGAATGTGATATTTATTTATTTTTATTTGATACACTTAATTCGGATAAGATTGTTGAAATGCCCCAAACAATTTATTACATAGACGTTGAAATTTTAACACTTGAGTAAGGACTATTTAGGTTAGGACAGACTGTTACACTATTTTAATTGTGTATTAACATTAACAATTGAAGATTGTCAAACAAAACATCAATTTAATTGATTTTGTTAATTAACAATTTGATCTTTTATTGGTGTTAAAAATGTTGATTTTATATTAGGATAGGATAAGGATGTTAAGTATTTATTAAATGGTGTATTAGTATTAAAATTAAAACTGACAATAAAAATCAATACAATTGTCAATTGATTCCATTGATTAAGAAAGTTGATTTTATAGAAAATTTTATTAGACTTCTGGGTGTATGCATGTGCATGGTTCTTATTTATTTATTTATCGGCAAACTTATTTATTTATTTTTTGGTCAACGGCAACAATTGTATTAACTTATGAATGGTAGACAACTGGTGCTTGCGTGAAGTCAGTGATGTGCATTATTAATCTTATTCTTCTTATTATTATTATTTATGAACTGAAAAGTCTTTGTTTGGCCAAATATATAGTATGAAATGTTTTAGCGGGGGAAATATCTATGTCAGCTAATTGATTGCTAAGTTTGACTAATTAATTCACGGAATTTGAATTGTCTTTATTATAATGAATGAATGATGGCCATTTTCAAAATGGAGGTGAAATTTCGATTTTATTTAGTTCTTTAAATTTACTTGAATTATGTTAGTCTTTATATATATATATATATATATATAAAGTTTACTACTTATCAACTTAATTGGACTATTTCTTTAAATAATTTACGTCAACTCATGCATTTTGTGATGTAATTTGGCTATTAATTATGTTTTACGTTTGAACATGATTCCACTTTATTTAATTTGAATTAATCCGGATCTAATGTTATTCGAATTTAATATGGTAATATTGAATTTCAGGCAAATGTATAAAAAAATAATTCAATTTTTTAAGTTAGAAAAAAATTATCTTGGTTCATCATTAACACTAAAGTTAACGCTTATTTTTAAATTCGATGTAATGTATCAGTGAAGGATAATTTTTAGAAAAAAATATCAATTAAGGACCGTTGGAGGAAATTTATATCAGTCAATTATTACTTATTGTTAAAACTCAAATGAATACTTGTTAATTTGGATTAGTCTTTTATCAACAAGTATTTATTCAGGTTTTAATAACAATTTATTCTAAATTAATAATAGTTTATTTAGGCTTTTTTCATTCAAATTTTAATAACAACTAGTACTTGACTGATATAAATTTCTTCCAGCATTCTTTCATTGCTATTTTCCCTAATTTTTATTCATAAAAATTTAAAAATTATGTTTCTTGGTTTCTAATAAATAACGTCTTCTTTTTATGAATTGCTTATTTTAAGAAAATATAATTTTTTTTGTCAAATAGGAAAGTATAATGATGTGGACTTTGATGGTAATGTTATAAACTTATAATTCCGTATTTATTTCTTTTGAGTTTCTTTTTTTTTTTTAAGAAAAAAAAAGTGACATGAGAATGATGCTATTGTTCTTTACACTCACGTTGTTGGCCAAAAAAAAAAAAAAAAAGCTCTTTACGTTCACGTCACGCTCTTTTGTTTTTGTAATCAAGTCACTGTTACATTACACGTCAATTTCAACGCCTAAAAGTCTTTTTTATGTTCTCTTTTTCAGACGTGAATACTTTTATTTTTTTAATTCACAATAACTTGATATTATAAATTCACTGCCCCTAATTAATCATAGTAAAATTTCACTTACGTGGTTGATGAGTTATACTAATCTAGGTAGTCATTATTTTCTGCCCGTGTGGCATGTATTTTTATAGTAAGTTTTCAGAATAAAGACTATACTTATTAATATTTCTCCAAAAAAAAATCTTTTTAAAAAACCTAGCTGACATAACTGATTTAAATCTTCTGAAATTAAAATCGTTAAATTTAGATGAAGTTTTCTTTCTTTCTTTTTTTATATTTTTCTCATTTTATTATATTTTCATAAAATATAATTTTTTTAAAAAAAAATTTACAGAAATTCACTAATCCCAACTTAATATCTACTCCTTTTAATCCTTTTTATAAGTCACTTCCAGCATATTTCATTAAAAGTAAGAAAAATTTTAAATCTCATTAACTTTTTTTCAAAATTTAATAAGTTTTTACTTTTATCCCTAATAAATATTCTAAAATTTCATTACTAATTTTTTATTTAAAGCATTTAATAAGGGTAACAATGTAAAGTAGGGTATTGAAAATTGATAAGTGTCTTATAAATAAAATTAAATATTTTTTTTATTTTATAAATAAGATTATAGGAGTAAATTTTAATGTAATTTTAAAAAATTATTAATATAACTATTTTAAAGTACCAGTCAGAATATTTAAATAACCTTATTATTATTATTATTATTTTTTGGGTAAAGTGAGAGGGCGGAGGGCCCAAGACCAGTCAAAACCGGTTACAGTAACACAAAAGCAAAAAACTCAAAAGACGCAAAACGAAAAACAAAACGCAAAACAGATAACGCAAAGACAAAACTTTGGCATTCCCAAAGTATCTTCAACCAGGATCACGAGTCATATAGTTCAGATCCAGATTCTCATCGGAGAACTCCGTTGATTTTCAATTTTTTTTGGGTCAAAAATATTATTTTTCAATTAAATTCCAAGTAATATATATTTTTTCCTCCCAGGTGGATCATTTGCATACTTAAGGGTAGAGCTAGGTGACTTTGTGGCCTTCATAGCCGCCGGAAACATACTTCTCGAGTACGTGATCGGTGGCGCCGCCGTGGCCCGATCATGGACCTCCTACTTCGCCACCCTCTGCAACAGAGGCTCCGACGACTTTCGCATAGTTGTTCACAGCATGGACCCAGACTACAATCACCTGGATCCCATCGCCGTCGTGGTTCTAGCCGTCATCTGCGTCCTCGCCGTCTTCAGCACCAAAGCCTCCTCTCGCTTCAACTACATCGCCTCCGTCATCCACATGGCCGTCATCATCTTCATCATTGTCGCTGGTCTTATCAAAGCCAACCCTCACAACTACCAACCCTTCGCCCCCAACGGCCCACGTGGCATCTTCGAAGCCTCCGCCGTCCTCTTCTTCGCCTACGTTGGCTTCGACGCCGTCTCCACCATGGCCGAAGAGACTAAGAACCCCGCCAGAGACATCCCCATCGGACTCGTCGGGTCCATGGTGATAACCACCGGAGCTTACTGCTTGCTGGCCATAACCCTCTGCCTCATGCAACAGTACACCGACATTGATCCCGACGCACCATTCTCCGTCGCCTTTAGCGCGGTGGGGATGGACTGGGCGAAGTACATCGTGGCGGCCGGAGCGTTGAAGGGTATGACGACAGTGTTGCTGGTGGGCACCGTGGGTCAGGCTCGGTACCTGACGCACATAGCTCGAACGCACATGATGCCGCCATGGTTCGCTCACGTGGATGAGAAGCTCGGGACGCCGGTGAATGCAACGATCACGATGATAGTAGCGACGGCGGTGATAGCTTTCTTCACGAAGCTGGAGATCCTGTCGAATCTACTATCGATTTCTACTCTGTTCATCTTCATGCTTGTTGCTTTGGCGCTTTTGGTCCGACGACACTACTCAACTGGAGTGACGACGAAGGCGAACCAGGTAATTGCATTACTTTTTCTTTTTTCTTTTTTTTTTTTAAATCAGCGTAATTGCATTACTTTTATTATAACGTTCCCTTGCATAGTCAAAGTTGCTCTATAAAGTTACATAGAAAGGATCTTCTTTCATTGTAAGATTTATAAAGTAAAATTTCTTAGTATTAGTATTTTCTTTTTTGGAATATATGATTTGCATAAAGGATCTAATTTCATGAATATACAACTTGAATAAGTGATCGATTATCGTCTCATTTGATATTTCATATGAATTTAACTATATTATAATTACTAGATAATATTGCTTCACCATGTAACTTTTTTGTATCCACAAGAGTTTTTTTGGTTTTTGAAAGAATCCATTTGAACATACACACACATCCACTTACGGATGACTTGGATTCTCCATGAGTGAAACAAATCCATTCATTAATAAGTATCTCATGTGATATGATAAGAATCATTAATTTATTAAACGGGTGAAAAGATTTTGCCACATTATATACTTAGAATGCAACAAACATCACTTCTCACTTTTCAGATCACATGGCAAGTTGAATCAATAGCTTTTATGAATTTTTGGAGGGGACAACATACTTACATACATGAGAGGTGTTTTGATCATGAAGATTGTTATAAATTTTTGACAAAATTATGAATATTTTAAAATATTAATGAAATTAATCAAATGGTTTATGCCAGTTACTTGATTCAAATCTCACACTCACGTACACGTGCGAACTTGTGGCATCCTTCACAAAGGAGGGTTTCGTGCCACTAAATCCAAAGGCCTTTGGCATGCATTGACAAGAGTGTGCGTACGAGAAGAAAAATTACATGTACACCAAGTCTGATATATACAAACCCTGTTGCTTTTTTCAGGTGAAGCTCATAGTGTGTCTAGTGCTAATACTAGCATCCTCCGGTGCGATTTCCGGGTACTGGGCAAAGAGTGATGGGTGGGTCGGGTATGTGGTGGCGGCACCGTTCTGGCTGGCAGGCACTGCGGGGCTGTGGCTGTTTGTTCCACAGGCAAAGCAGCCGAAGCACTGGGGAGTCCCACTGGTGCCATGGCTTCCATCTTTATCAATAGCCATAAACGTGTTCCTTCTAGGCTCCATAGACAGAGAATCGTTCATAAGGTTTGGGGTATGGACGGCATTTCTTTTGGTCTACTACGTCTTGTTTGGCTTGCATGCTTCTTATGACATTGCCAAAGAGTTTGAGAAGAACAAGACTGCTTCTGTTGATAAGGTCATGGAAGAAGGTGTAATGGCTGCTTCTTCACATCCAGAATCAAGAATGTAAATATATATTAGTTTATATATATATATATATATATAATTTCTAATTAAGCTTTCCAGATGATTGATTATTAGCGACGAGTCTAAATTATCTTGTGTGCGTTGTCGTTGTGTTGTTGTTTTAAATGAATTTCTTGTGCAGTTGTTCGAGTTCTTGGTGTAATTTTGTTTTGTCCATGGGTTTCTGTTGTGAACTTCAATTGAGTTTTAGATTTCTATTATCTATTTACCCCCTCTTTATTAGTATCTAATCTGAATTGTCTGGATTTAACAATCCAAATTTAACACAAATTTTTTTATATTTTTAATAATTCTTTATTTTAATAGATATAATATTTAAAATAAAGATAATCTTATAATTGTCACTTTGTTAGAAAATAATTTTTTAAATGAAATTTACAGATTAAAAAATTTTAAATGAGTGATTAAAATCAGTTTTAGATGGGTCAACTCTCATAGCATTGATGAGCACAATGGTGTTGCAACTTGCAATCGCTTTACCTACTGCTATTACTCAATGAATTCGAATTTATAATCTCTAGTTTGACGAATTGATCATTCATATATTTTTTTTTAAAAAATAGAGTGTGGGAAGGAGCGAACACACACACAAAATGATATTTAAACAGTTCACATTTTTTATTAACATCTGGTTATAGAAAATAATTCAATCAACAAGGATTGAATTCACAAACTTAAACAAGGGCATCAATTTTTTGACTTCAAACCAATTGTATAAAATTATCGCATTTTTATCTATATAGTTATTGTTTAAGGATAATTAATGATTTCAAATTTACAATGATAAATGTATTTGACATTAATATTTCAAAATTTGATAACGATATTTTTAAGTTGTACTTTATTTCAATGTAAAATTAATTAATGACCTTTGGTCCTTTATAAAAAAAATATTGACAAATGTCTCTCTTATCAAATTTTGTAATAACTTGAAATCTCGCAATAATTGGTCATAATTCCAAAATTTTAATCTTGCTCTGTTAGGCAAACGATGCTGGAGAATTCTTACAGAACCTAATGCTTTCTGGGTGAAAATTTTGAAGGGCTTATACTTTCCTCATTGCTCTTTTCTTAATGCTGTAAAAGGGGGAAGAGCTTCTTGAGCATGGAGTAGTCTTTTGGCTGGAAGGGCTTTGTTTGCTGATAGAGTTTACTGGAGAATTGGCACTGGGGACTCGGTTAGTGTCTGGTATGATCCATGGCTGCCTAACGTTGATAAATTTAAATTTCCAGCAATGAATATTCCCTTTGATTTGCAATGCCGGAAAGTGTCTAATTTGATTGTTAATGGGGTGTGGGATTTGTCAAGACTTAATCTCCCTTTTCACATTTAGGGGCTATTTCTGAGGTTGAGTTACCTAATGCATATTAATGATAAACTTCTATGGACTGGTAGCTCTAATGGCGAGTATTCTGTCAAATTAGGCTATAGATAGCTCTAATCTTGGTTGTTGAATTGTAGGTGATCTTAAGGGCGATGAATTTTCTCAGGCCTCAGTGGCTTACTTGTGTTGGTATGTGTAGAAAGCTCGTTGTGATGTAATTATTAATTAATATCTGTTAGGTAAACTTGATATGTAGAAAAACTATAAATAATATAAAATTTATTATGTTAAATAAAAAATAATTTTAAATAAAATATTATTATATTTTCCTTTAGTTTAAGCTATTTATATTATAAAAATAATTTAACCTATCTATTAACTTTTTTAAGTTTGCATGTAAATATAAGGGGAGAATGACAAATAAATTTTATTGAAATAATCAAATGACATGAGAGTATCACAATCAATGTTTTGAAAACCAGACGATCAGACCGGTCCGACCGTCGACCGATCTGGTTTTCGGTTTGGTTCAAAGGAAAAAATTATTTTAAGAGTTGAGCCGGGTTGAGCCATTTCAAATCGGCAGTCAGACCGGGAACTAGAATCAAGGTGGGAACCGGATCTAGTTTTCTCAAAAATTACCAAATGAAACCGATAATTTTTTTATAATTTTCTAATCAATTGACATTTTTGTTAATGGTAGAGATGATATTATATTATTTTAAAAAGTTGAAGGGTTCTTTGCCCTAAAATAAGTTTATTATGTTTTTAGAGCGAAATTGCACTTTAATCTTTTTTTTTTTTTTTGGCAAAGTTATACTTCTGACCCTCAATAAAATTATAGAAAATGTAGTTTTTAAAAACTGAATTGAAGCATATGGGGCTTTCCCGAAACCGAAAGATAATAGCATTTGAGATGATAACATGGGAATAAAGAAGGTTCTTAAAATGGCTAACCGCTAGTAATTAATGCCAACATCTTTTATTTTTTAAGCATCCAGTACCTGAGTTGAAAAGATTTTAACATGAGGCCCAAATTAAACTGAATCAAGCAGCTCGAGACTCTTTTAAGTAAAAGCTCTTTACCACCAACATTACTATATTTCTCTGAGCTTGAATTTGAAACATTTGATTAAGAAAGTCAAATTTTCTTATTAGTTCAACCAATCATTGAATCCACTATTTTTCAAACTTAAAAGCAAGTGGGGGATTTTCCCAGGTTGACTTTGGGCTTTTCCTCAATTTTTTTTTTTAAATGAGTCCCAACAAGTCAATGATGGTAATATTGGAAGAACAAATAATAATCCTATCATGATAAGGTTAGGAGCCACATATTTAGGTGGGGTTGTTATGTATGAAAGCTTGAACCTCAGCAGCAGGTATTACAACAGGCAAATGCATGGCTGCGGGGAAAAGAGGAAAAATAGTTTTATATTAAAACAAGATTTTAAAAAAAGCGGGTAGTATATTCTTTCCATTTTGAGTAAAACAATTGAACATGAAATTGCTATTTTTTTAGCTAAACAATGTAAAATTGTTATTAACTATAAGCCAATCGTTCCACCCAATGTTTTAAAAGTCGGAGCAGATGTTGAACAGAAAAATTCAACAGTCCATGATTTTTATGGTCTAACCGGTTAAACCAGTGGTTGAATCAATGATGTAATAATAAATAAAAATAACATTAAATATATATAATAAATATCATATAAGGAAAAATCTATAGTATGTTAATAAAATGACATAATATGATCATAAATTAATAATTTTTAAATTATAATTTTATAACTTGTCAAATATAAGTAAATTTTAATTAAACTAAATATGAATAGCCACAAAAGTATCAACATTTACATCTATAACTGTCAATATAAAAATAGGTTTAATCATATTCTATACATATAAATTCTCAAAATAAAGTTGGCTTTAGTAGGATCTAATTTTAGAATTTTTCTATTTTTAAATTTTTTTATGCTTTTTTAAAATATTATGTTTAAAACTATTCAGCTTTTTGAGAACAGCTCTGGCTCCTAATTCAACTCTGGTTTCTAGCTGAACATTGGCTTAACTTCGATTCAATATGCCTCAATCATGAAAATAATTTTTTGATCCAAACTAAGTCATTAACTACTTCGATTGACCGTTTGATTGTCTAATTCAGTCTGATTTTTTAAATAATTGGTTCCACTACACGGCTGGAGAGTATAAGATTACTTTGTTTTTTTTTTTGGATCATGACTTTATTCTGTTTTATTATACATGCAAATAATTTTATTATGTGATTTTAACATTAAATATTCACTTAATTTTAATGAAAATTATTACTCCCTCCTGTCCTTAATATAGGAACTAGTTATGATTTGTAAAAAAATATGAGCTATTTTTTTTCTAAAATACTCCTTCTTTCAATTATTTACATTAAAGTATTATCAACACAACTTATACATTATACAATCTAACTATAAGGATAATTCAGAAAAAAAATATAAAGATGGACACAAAATTGATTAAAGCCTACTACCGTTTATGATCAAAACAAACTTTTTAATTATCTCTTACATTTATGACATGATGAAATATTATTTGTTAATTTTTTTTAAAAAATTGCCAATGGCTTGAGTTCATAATGTGAAATCTGGGTAAACCTGCTTGATACTAGCAAATTGCTAAACTAATATTCGACTGTTTTAATAAAATTTTGATAATTATATTTGAACAAGTGCCTTAACCAATTTAATACTATATTATTAGTGACTGATCTTCAATCGGTCACTAAATATCTGTTATTAATTTTAATTTTTTTAGTAGCGATATATATATCTATATATATATATAATTGGTATGTGATTTTAACATTTAAATATTCACTTACTTTAAATCAAACTTATCACTCTTTTGGGTTCTAAACAAAGAAACTAGTTAATCGATTCATATAAATTTAAAAGCTTATATATTTAATTATATGTAAAAATGTTTGTTGATTTTACTAAAAAATGTTTGTTGATTTTACTAAGTAACCCATTCTTTTTATCATTTATATAGAGTATTATTATACATAATACAATTTTACTTATAAGGGTAATTTTCTGGCCAAAAAATTATAAATATAATTTGAAAAAAATAAAGATGAGAGACAAAATAGATTGAGATCTAATATTTAAAATTAAAATTAATCGCTCAACTTAAATCTGCATTCTCGACACAGTAAAGTAATATTATAAAAAAAAACCGAAGAATAATATTTATTATTGTTTTTTTTAAATTGCCCCGGTCGGCTGGAGATGCGTGATCGGCCGCTCATGAACCGTGTGAACGTAACAAATTTTTTTAGGTCAACATCAGATACACTGACATTTCAGTCTTTTATCCAACTTGTATAAGTTGGGGTTTTTTGTCTGACCCCTGGACCTTGGAAAGTTATTATTTTTTACTTTGTATTTTTTGGGACGAATATTTTGTACTTCTTGGTTCATTTTTAAAAATATTTGAGTTTCAAATTTTTTTAAATATATTCATCTTAAACCCAAAAAAAATTATACCTTCTAACCCAAAAAAAAATTATACCTTCTAACACAAGATATTTTTAAAAGTTTATATTTTATTTTCAAAATATAAAGTTACTAAGTGTATTTAATGAAGTTTACTAATATGTAAGATCATAATTAAAAATGTCTTGTAATCTAAGATGAAGAGAGTATTTATTCAATTGAAATGTGTGAAAAATTTTAAAAAATCAAGATTTTAACTAGTTTTTTAAGAAATATAAATTAATTAATAATAACTTATATTTGTGGTTTGGATGGAGTATATATTAGTTTAAATACCTAAATTTTTGTAGTATAGTATTCTCCATGTTACATGAAAAATGTATACTTCTTTTATT